TTGCAGAGGTATCACGGAATGGGGAATTTAGCCGACCGACCCCGCAGCGGTCGCCCAACTGTTTTGACAGCTGCCCAGAAGCGCTATATTAGATTGCTGGCAGCCCGTGATCCAACAATCAACGCCTCTAAAATAAAAGCAGAAGTCAGGGCCGCCTCTGGGCTTGAAGTTAGCACGCAGACCGTTCGCAATTGCTTGCACCAGGCTGGATTACGAGCACGGAGGTCTTGGCGAGCTCCGCTCAATTCCCGGCAACGTCAACAACGAAGATTGCAGTGGGCTAGACTTCGGCAAAATGAAGAAGGTGAGGACGAAAACATTTGGCAAAACTGTCTCTTCGTTGACGAATCCCGAATCAGCACTCATCCAGATAACCGACGTGTCCGTGTCTGGAGAAGACCAGGCGACCGTGAAAGACAAAGCACTGCCACTGGAACAGTTCAGCAAGGCGGAAAATCGGTGTCCTTTTGGGGTGGCATTATGATTGGAGCTAGAACGCCTTTGATCCCGTATCGGGGCTTCATGACAGCAGACATGTACAAAGCAGTTGCTATTGATGATATCGTCAGACCATTCCGAGTAAACCATGGGTACCAATTTGTACTGGTCGATGATAATGCGCCCGCACATCGAGCTCAACGAGTCAATGCTGCTCTTCAAGAATACAATATCACACGATTAGACTGGCCTGCCGGCTCGCCCGACTTAAACCCAATAGAGCACGCGTGGGATGCTCTTAAACGAGCAGTATGGAACCGTGAGCCACGTCCCCAGACAGTTCCAGAGCTCAGGGAAGCCGTTATTGAAGAATGGGATAGGTTACCCCAGGAAATGCTGGATAACTTGATCCTCAGCATGCCCAGGAGGATCTTCGCATGTATTCGAGCCAGGGGAGGAGTTATTTTATATTGAATTCACACCTTTTAATAATAAATTGTTGTTTAAGTTTAATTAAACAGTCTTTTTCTTTCTATGAAATTTCTATCACTATTACATTATGATTAATGGCTCAATTTTTTAAAATAAATAATAAAAAATAGTTTTATATTTTAATTTCAAACAGGGTATTCCTATTTAAAGAAAGCATACAACATAGATTTTTTCTTGATAAAGTTAAATTTAAAGAATTATAGGAGCTTATGCTATTGATCGCAAACTTTTTTTGATGTGTGTAGATTGAACAATCTCAACTGTACTGATAGAAATGGCACCATGAGTTACACTGGTAGGCAGATTGTGTAACCTTAGATAAGGATCCTACGCTGTAAAGGTAGAATGGAAAACACATCTATACTTTAAAACAAATACCAACAGTTGACAGGCTCTACAGGTTCCGTCGTCACGGCTAACAGACTCTTGGAACCCGAAAAGAAAACATATATAAACTACATGAAGTCAGTGACAGAACACGATCAGTGAAACGAGAGTCGATGTTAAAATATATCGAGATACATTTCGACATTTAAACTAGCATTATATATTATATATGGCAACAATTGAAATCAATTCATTAATACGCCACGTGAATAATGGCGAATAGTCGTGGTGACTGTTTGTTAATTTTCAGTTTAATTCCCGTATATGTAACCGAGCTGTACAAAATAATAGTATTGATTCACATTGTGCCACAATTTAAAAATTACCGCCATACCATTTCGCGACTGGATGAGTTCATCGACTCCATATTTTCGATGTGTCCCTTCACAGACTCTTTTTTCCGTCAGACGTAATTTCATCGTCTTAACTGCGTTTTTTTTTTGACGGGGGGGGAATCTTTATGGATACCCCTGAGCCCAGGGAGACTCAGAGGTTATGTGGGGACTCTCCCTCCACACTGGAAGGCCTACCCCACTAAAACCCCCCCGGGTTTCCCTCTCGCCTGTTGAGTCGTGGGATCAGTGAACATTCATCATGACGCCGCCCGGCCGCCCTAGCTTGCGCCAGGGCTCCTGCGCCAACGGAGGGACGAGTCGGTTGTCCTCCGACCCGCCCCCCAGAGTGAGGCCGTGCAATGCAGGCTCCGGAGTCCCTGTCCAGAGCCCGCTGGTCTTACTAGGGGATCAGGCGAGCAGCGAACTGCCTTCGCCTTCTCCCCGTACGTTTGCGCCGGAGCGGGTGCGCGTCCGCCGGGTCCTCGCGCACCCGCTCCGCGGCCTCCTTTTGCGACATAACCTCTGTGCAAAAGGAGGCCACCGCCTCTCAGGACTCCTCGCTATCGAGCATGGCGGCAACCACGCTCGGCAACGAGAGGTCCTGCCCTATAGTGCCCGTCAGAGTGCGGCGCTGCTCATCCCACCGGCTACACACCTCTAGGGTGTGCTGCGCGGTGTCATCCGCAGCGCCGCACTCGTGGCACGACGGGGACGGTTCCCTCCTCGCCACCTTGTGCAGGTAGTGACCGAAGCAGCCGTGCCCGGTCAGCACCTGCACAAGGTGGTACGACAGTGGCCCGTGGGACCGGTTGACCCACTCTGCGAGGACAGGGCGAATCGCCTCTATGGTACGAGCACCATAGGGGGGATCCGCCAAGCCCTCTTTCCACCGGTCCCGCATGCGCTGCGCCGCGAGGCGGCGCTCCCGCTCGACCTCTTGGGGAGCGGGGTCGCTCGCCTCGGTCTCTCATTCCCCGCCGGTAGGTGCGGACCTCCTCCAGGACCTCGGCTTCGAGGTCCCACGGCGAGGACGCATGCGGCAGCGCAGGCCACCGTCATGTACGCCCTGCACTCAGTCTGCCCCCCGTCTGCACTGGGAGGCACCTTGTATGGTGGGGTGAAGGGCTGCGGTTCGGGGAAAAGGCCCTCCACCACCCGGTTGAGGAGATCGAGCTCCAGTGACTCCATGGGAGATGCGCCGTACATTTCGTTGCGCACAACTTTGTACGGCCTCCCCCATGGGTCCGCGCCCAGGGTAGCTAAGAACTCCTCTTTCGCGGAGTCCTTGGCCCGCCCTATTGCGACCTTCAGGGCGGCCTGAAGGACGCTGTGGAGCCTTTTCTCCTCACTTTGGGTGTGGCGCCTGCGGCGGCATCGCCGTGGTACTGGCGGTCCACCAGTGCACACTCTTTTTGCCCGGGGTCCCTCTGACCATTCTCTCTGGCCATGGGCATGGCCCGCTCGCAGACGGCGGTCAAGTCTTCCCTGAACTTGACCGCCCTCTGCTCCACGCCGACGGTGGCCGGTGGGGGGGGGGGCACCACGCCTGGACCATGGCTGTTTCCGCCTGGTCAGTCGGCGTGGAGGCCGTCGCGTCAGGGGCGGTAGGGACGGCGAGAACGGCGGGGGGCGCCGCAGGAGGGGCAGCAGTAGCCTTCCGCGGGGGAGCCTTCCTCTTGGCCTTCTTATTGGGTCGCTGGCCGGCAGGCACGTTTCGAGCCAGGGAGGGGCCCGGTGAGATCGTCGATTGCCTCCCTCACTCCCTCATGCATCTCCGCGGAGCTGCACGGCGGTGGGGCCACCTGTGCCTTGGCCTTGGCCATAGCAGTGGATTAGGCCCCCCTCAGGGCCTTCACCTCCGTTTCCAGGGCAGCGAGCTGCCCCCTCATCCGGCGGTTGTCTTCCGACATCCACCGCGCCGCCTCTGTCGCCGTCTCCACACGGTGAAGGAAATTGACGGCTCCTTCCACCTTCCTGACGGCCTCTTTTATAGCTTTGACCACCGTCCCCTTGAGGTTAGAGGACTTGGCGGTCTCCGCCAATATTGCTGCGAGGCCGTCTCGTGCCTCCTGGGCCAGGGTCTCTCGCATGAGGCCCGCCATGCCATCGGGTTCAGCCTCTCCGGCCGACCCCGGCCCAGGGCCTCCTTGAAGAAGGCCGCGTCCGCATCCTTCTGGAGGGCGTTCCACTCTGACGAGCTAGAGCGCCCCCTCCCTGCCGTCGCCGCACCGGGGAAGGACTTCCCGGGGCCTCTAGGTCTGCCCCTACGGGCCGTGCTAATCTTTGGAGCCCTTTCGGGCTCCATAGATTCGTTCGACGGGGGGGCGGCGCGCTTGGGAGCCCTTGAGGATCCCTTCTCTCCGGCTGACCTGGAGCGCGAAACCACGCGTGAGTTCCCCTCAGAGATGGTGGCCTCTCCGTCCGAAAGGGCCGAGAGCATCGTCTCACCCTCCGACTCATTGTCGGAGAGAATGCTCACCACCACATTGGAGGCACTCGTGCGATCCGTATTTACCGTGTCGTGTGCAAAATCGTTGTCAGTTCGGTGGCAGTTTTTGCCCCCCCCCCGGAGTACGAGGGCCTGCCATCCGCCGAACCGGATGGGCGGGATTCCCCCTTTCGGGGACCCGTCTGGGGACCATTTTTAAAACGTGCTCGTCTTAACTGCCTCTGTGGCGGAACGGTTACCATGCCGGACTGCCACGCAGAGGTCCCAGATTCGATTCCCGGGCCGGAAGAAATATTTATATAACCTACATTTATTTCTCTCGTGAGTTTGGGTGTAATTTGTGTTTATCTGTGTGTGTGTCCATGGCACCCGCGACACAGGGTTTCCCTAGTGCGGGGCTATGTTGAGTGTGTGCGTTATTATTTACCTTACCTTTACCTTAAGTTGTGAAAATAAAGATGATAGTATTTCCACGTATTTTTTAGTGAAATATTTGTCAACGATTACAGAGTAATAAAAAACTGATATAAAAAGTCATTCATCCGCTAGTATGCCACTCTTAGAGGTGGAATATTTTCTTTAAATTTAAATAGGACCACTTCTGAGGTACCCTCTTTTACAAAAAAAAATCATCAAAATCGATTCACAAATGGCCGGAGTTATCGCGTTACATACATACAAAAAAACGTTGAGTCGAATTGAGAACCTCCTCTTTTTTTAGTCGGTTAAAAATAGATTCTTGATGTTTACAAAAATATATTTGTAGACCTCTTCTATAAAGTTATGTCGTCTTAATTTTACCCACCTGTCATTCTAATCAAGCTTAGTTATACGTGGTTTTACGGTACTCCGTAAAATACACTGTACACACTATACTTAGTGTCAAAATTTACTTTCAGGTGAGAATTTCGAGCTAATGGACGGAGTAATGGGCATGGCGTTGTCCCCTTGGAGAGGTAATTCCGATCGGTTCCTCTACTTCCACGCTCTTTCTTCCACCACAGAAAACGTGGTCCGGACATCTGTACTCAAGAATGATAGTTTCTTGGCAGATCCTAACGTTGACCCTAAACTTATCAGGGTAAGTTGAACATGACTAACGGAAATACTAGTTTCCAAATAATTAATAGATTCAGGCGTTACTTTATAGAAGTCAATGTAATAAAAATACAACCGAATAGTTCTGTGCGAATCCAGTTAAGGTACACTCATACGAGATAACTAAACAATAAACCATAATTCGCTCAAAATATTTTTGGTTTACGTAGTGAAGCACATACATACCTACTTACTTTTACAGGTATTCCCGGATGAGCGACCAAATCAAGCAGCAACGGAAGCAATGGATAGGAACGGCATCATGTATTTCGGACTCATGGACCCGCCAAGTATTTGGTGCTGGAATTCTGCCACGGAGTACAATCAAAGGAATTTCCACCAAGTCGCCGAAGACAGGGAAACTCTACAGTTCGCCAGTGGGGTCAAAGTCATCAATAACCTTAAGGGAGAACAGGAGTTATGGGTTCTTACATCAAGCTTCCAAAGGGTCATAACTAAGTCCCTAAGCTCTAACAGGACAAACTTCAGAATTCACGCGGGAAAGATCCCAGTGATCTTGGCAAGGTCACCATGTTTGTTTCCCCCAAAGAATCGGCCAGATGATTACTATGCAAACATTATCGCTGCCCCAGCCGAATAAAACGGTATCATGAAAATGACAATTTTACATTAAAAATTTGAAACACACGAAACGCATTTACGAATCAAATACTAGCCCGATTTTGAAGATCTAGGTAACAATAAAACCGGCATAAAATTAGTAAGGACGGGTATCATGTGTATCTGCTTAATTGTCATTAATACAGACATATTTATTAAAAATTATTTAAATTTTTATTTTCCACATCTGTAATGGTACAGAACATCCTCCTTAAAAACCCTGATAATCATATTAAACTGTATGCTGGGAGACTTTGTACCAGGAACTATTATCGCCACTTTTGTATAAATTTTTAACACAGTATTTTAGTGTTTACTGTGAGTTTTAAACATTTTTGCAATGTACGTGTAATAAACTACGTGTATGGTGCACACAACTTCTTATCTCATCTTCTTCACTATTAGAAGTCTCCATGTCGTGGCCTTTTATTAGGTGGAGTTTGAACAGTTAAACCCATATAAAATCTGTGATCATTTATGGGTTAAGAACATAATTCATAGGTTATTGATTGGTAATAAAGGAAAATTTACTGAAATAATTGGATGTAGGCAATTTAGGCATTGCTAAAATTAAAAGTGTTACCCGGAGCATGTTGTGGTAACCTGGAAGAGATAACAATATCCACGCCGAGCCGTGGTCACGATTACATATAGACTTTTAGTAGTGAAACATTTTTAATTCTCATAGATGGAAGGTAGCAAGTACAAGCTTTGTCTGTTTAATTAAACGCAGTATCGAACAGACGTGTTTTACTGTGTGTGGCGTTTGTACAGGGTTAGCTCAATAAAACAATGTTTGTTGCTTCGCGTACACGTGTGATACACACCCGCTCACGCCACTGTCTCATGTAGTCATGGCGGGAACGGCGGGCCGCAGTGAGACATATGTATATTGTCTATGGTACATTATGTCAATACACTACATCTCTCCCTTTCAATAAAATTAATAAAAATTTTAATAACACGTATGTTTTACTTTACTTTTATAATGATTACTAACTGACACAATCTACTAAACATAACCTAAGCATTTTACATTGTTCTTCATTGTTTCTGTTTCGACATTACCACCTTGACCTTCCTCTTTATTATGAATTTGCCATAGTAACAAAGAGCAGGGCAGCTACGATTATCTTTGAGAAACTCTTACTTAAATGAAACACGGAATCTCGTTCGCAACGACACGTATTGCTTTCAAGTTGCTACTGAAAGTTATTGAAGGGCATACTAACGATTGTATTGTTGCAATCTGCTGCGTAAGGGATGGTTCTTATCATCAAAGTCATTGAAAGTAGGGCGAACACTTTGCTTTTTGAGAAAATCTTACCATAACTTCATAGTCGAGAAGGAATTTTTCACTTACAAAACGGCTGGTTTTCAAAGTCCAGTCGAGACTTCCTGAAGAGTAAACTAACGACTGAATTAATGTTTCTTGGTGCGTAAGGGGATGTTCTTATCACTGAAATAACAAAGAGCGGGGCAACTGCTACATACTATATTTGAGAAATTCTATCTTAAATGGAACACGGAATCTCGATCCCATCGAAACGTATTTCTTTCAAGTTGCTACTGAAAGTTATTGAAGGGCATACTAACGATTGTATTATTGCAATCTGCTGCGTAAGGGATGGTTGTTATCATAAAAGTCATTAAAAGCGGGGCAACACTCTGCTTTTTGAGAAAATCTTATCAAAACTTCATATTTGAGAAGGAATTTTTCACCCACAAAACGGCAGGTTTTCAAAGTTCTGTTGAGACTTCCTGAAGAGTATACTAACGCGGAAAGGGATGTTCTTATCACTGAAATAACAAAGAGCGGGTCAACTGCGATTGTCTCTGAAAAATCCTCTCTTAAATGGAACACGGATTTTCGTTCGCAACTATACGTATTGCTTTCAAGTTGCTACAGAAAGTTATAGAAGGGCATACTAACGATTGTATTATTATAATCCACTGCGTAAGGGATCGTTCTTATTATGAAAGTCATTAAAAGCGGGGCAAACACTCTGCTTTTTGAGGAAATCCATCACAACTTTGCAGTTGAGCAGAAATTTTTCACCCACAAAACGACTGGTTTTCAAAATCCTGCCGAGAGTTACTGAAGAGTATACTAACAAATTTATTGATGTATTTTGGGGCGCAAGGAGATGTTCTTATCACTGAAGTAATAAAGAGCGGGGCCGCTGCGATTATCTTTGAGAAATTCTTACTTAAATGGAACACAGAATCTCGTTCGCAACGAAACGTATTGCTTTCAAGATGCTACTGAAAGTTATTGAAGGGCATAATAACGATTGTAATTTTTATAATCTGCCACGTAAGAGGTGGTTCTTATCATAAAAGTGATTAAAAGCGGGGCATACAGTCTGTTTTTTGAGAAAATCTATCAAAATTTCGTAGTTGAGTAGGAATTTTTCACCCACAAAACGGCTGGTTTTCAAAGTCTAGCCGAGTGTTACTGAAGAGTATACTACCGATTCAATTGATGATAATTGGTGCGTAATGTTCTTATTATCCACACTACTGAAATCAGGGCAGCTGGGCTTATTTTTTAGAAAGGGACTCATTACTTGCATGTGGAATTTTGTTGCGTATTAAACTAGTTATGTAGGAAGGAAGGAAGTCCTGCTGATAGTTCTCGAACAAAACACTAGTTTGTGATAGTGTCAGCTTGTGTCTAATATCATTAGTTTTCCTCGGAATTGCGAGAAATCGCGATAGCCATGACAATTCTATTTTTAGTATGTATAAGTACATTACTCAATCCAGGTGAACTCTACCGAATTGCATATTTTTTACATTACGTGGACGACTATGTCATTTGGCGTATGATACTTGACTTAGCATATGTAGGTACGTAAAACTTGTGGTTGCTGAGTACTACAGCATTTCTCTCATGTGTCTTCTATTTTTAATCGGCTGATTTGTGTTTCGTAAGAAAAAGACATCAGCGAAGTGAGATTTTTGCTTCTAGTGAAAGACATCAACGAACCCATCTTGAAAAAATCATTGTTCTCTTGGGGCAATACCGTCGAATGTGAGTATACCAGCGTATACTAACGATATACTAACGACCTGCGCAAGCCGTTTCCGGGTGCATTTGAAAAAACATAGTGGGGTGGTTAACTTCACATGTGAAGTTGACACAGTAAGTAGCTCCTCAGTCTGGCCCCCGACTGCTCTCAGGGGCAGACTGAGAGCCATGGTCGGTGGGGTGAAGGGCTGCGGCTCGGGAAAGAGGCCCTCCACCACCCGGTTGAGGAGATCGAGCTCCAGTGACTCCATGGGAGATGCGCCGTACATTTCGTTGCGCACAACTTTGTACGGCCTCCCCCATGGGTCCGCGTCCAGGGTGGCCAAGAACTCCTCTTTCGCAGAGTCCTTGGACCGCCCTATCGCTACCTTGAGGGCCTGCCTCGCGCCCTGAAGGGCGCTGTGGAGCATTGTCTCCTCACTCCGGGTGTGGCGCCTGCGACAGCATCGCCCGTAGGCCCGCCGGGCTGCTGTACTGACGGTGCGGAGGTCCCCAATCTCCGCGGTCCACCAGTACACCCTCTTTTTGCCCGGGGTCCCTCTGACCCTGGGCATGGCCCTCTCGCAGACGGCGGTCAAGTCTTCCCTGAACTTGACCTCCCTCTGCTCCACGTCGACTGTGGCCGGTGGGGGGGGTGTCGGTTAACACCTGGCGCCCGACGACGTGTTCGTCCTGCCACTTGATATCATTTAAAAAATAAAACGATGATCACGATGAAGATTTTTGTGCCAAGTTTTGAACCCACATAAAAAATATTTTACAAATAAATACTTTTGCGAGCATTAATTCATATTCGCTGGCTCTGTCGTGTGCCTTATTCCAGTGCGGCCATAATCGAGGCTTATCAAGGCGAAATATGGCTATTATCAAGTAATAAGTTGTCACTTAGTCAGTCAGTTACGCTGTTTTAAATTTTAAGGATATACTGTCCACACTAGAATACGCGTACCATAACCATTTTTCTATCTCGAAAACCAGAGTTCCTAGCTTAGATTTGATTTTACCCAGAAAATGTTGTGAATTAGTCGCTCCTTTATTTAGAATATACAGCAAACTGTATTACTTTAGGTATGTTGATGATTTGATACTTTGTTGGACGGGTAGTATGAGCTGGATATTTTTATGAAGATACAGCAAAGTTATTACCGAACTAAGAGGCTCGGTCCACATAGTTTATCGTAAAAAGAGGAAAAGAAGGTCCAAAAGGGCCTATATATCTATATTATTTTAATAGTAAACGACGTAAAGTTTAGCAATAAATGTTGGTGATGATTTATAGGCACGTTCTCTCGTTTCCAGAATTTTGATGGCAGTGCCGACTAATCGAACTAAACGTAAGAATAGTGAAGGAATTCGAATTCGAGACCAATTCAAAACTTAAAAAGTAAGAGCCAGGTACCGGTACAGAGGGTGATAAAAGAAATGGAATGACGATGAATGAGGTCAATCGTCACAACTTGTGTTAGTCTAAATGCTCTTATATTTTGAATATTACAATGCCTTTGTTAAACATTTCTTCAATACATGATACTTAAAGGTTTTTTACAAATAACTAACTAATTTTAGAATTATTCGGTACTCCAATGTTTATTCTACGGAAAATAAAATCAATGATCTCCCACGAATATTGCAAGTATGTATTTTGGACACTATCTACTCTTGCATGTTTATAGCAAACTAACTTTTTAATACTGCTCGTGGGAATATTTAAAAATCTTCAAAAATATAATGCATTTTTGCACTTTTAAAATTTATGACCAATTACTACAATAAAAGTGTAAACACTACAAGTGCACAGCCCCCACAGTAATTTTTATTAGAATAAAAATTTCAAATTGTTTTTTAATAATTTCTGATAAATTATCAATGTTTTCGTGTTTCATATGTTTTTTATCTTTAATTTCGTCATACACTGAATTTCAGTATATCCAATCACCAATGAGTAATATTATTTTTTAAGTTTTTAATCACTCCTGTAAAGTACCAGTTTTTCCTTTACACGTTTATTCGCCGTCGATAAGGTCATTTTAATAAGACATTGAAATACAATAAAACAAAGAATTAGCAAGTTTCTTTTATTGTCACAAATATAAACTTAATATAAAGACAGCAATGATTATTTTTGAATAGATCAATTGAAAAAATATATTTTTAATCACCATGTAAGTCCTCTATTTCAAATTTTAAATGTTATTTGAAAACGATATTATAGTAATATTTCTTTCATTATTACACTGAATTTAACACTGCTGTGGTTTTACAATAAAATGTGCTATTTTATTAAAAATAGACTTCTTGTCCATTAAAATTTGTAAACGGATCGAAACATAATGAATTACATTTGAGCGCCATTAAATGTTTAATATCTACCTACGACACAATACTTCCTCCTTTCCAGATAATGAAATTCAGATACAAATTATTAAAGCTACACATTGAAACTTATAGTACAATAATAAATCACAAATAACAAAAGAAATTTTATAATGCAAATTTAAAATAAATAAAATGGCGCATTGACACTTTACAGTTACACACGTCAGACGTGGTTACACTCCCTAAGTCTTAGATAAATGTAACTTTGTATGCGATGGAAATATGATACAGTGAAGTTTAAGCCATAATGAAACGAAATATATGAGAAAGTTGTAACAAACTATAGTACAAAAGTTTCAAAAATGTGTCATTTTACGTATTTACGTCTCTTTTAAAAGCTTTTGTATATAATTGTCAACCGCACCTAAAATATATAAGTTAAGGTACTGGAAAGTTCATACTAGTATTCAAATAAAGACATAAGATTATATACAAAATATCCCAGTCGAAACATAATTAGTCGCTCTATATGTTGCATTCCAGTCTTTGGCATTGATGGCACACACTTCTGAACCATTTGTGTTTTAAATAAAAGAAATTACATTAAAAATAGTAGCGATAATTCATCTGACGTTTAAAATAAAGATTATACATCATAGTATAATAATTAATAAGACAAGTATAGTAACTAGAAACAAACGTAAGAGCGCGGTTTTGTGTGTGCGTGCCCGCCGCTAGTCGTATACGGACGCACACATCCGCATAATAATGAAAGGCGCGTGAGACGACCAACGCTATGCATCGCGAGACAGCGGGCGTATACATATGCAAGCCATGCTTAGTAGCATGGCTTGCATGTGCTTACAAGCCATGCTACTACATTTGTATAGAGTTACCATACTTGTATTATTATACTATGATTGTATCGACTACACAATATAATAAATTCGTTATGGAACATTCAAGTAGTTATTTATGGAATCGAAAGACAGAGAGAAAAATTAAATACTATTAAAAACTAAAATCTCAAATGCCACCAAGTAATTACGCGGCTTTACACGTTTTATAAAGAAACTAGTTTAAAATCGTTTTGTTTTTAATTTAAGTATCTTCCGAGGATTTTCATTTAATATTATTTTGATGTTAATGACTGGATGAGTGACGGCGATTTAAATGAATATCAGCAATCCTAGTGATCAAACTATGGAAATAAATAAATACAACTTGTATTTTATTACACTAATATATGTATCTATTTATAAATATATCAGCAGTTGGAGGTACATGGGTTGCTACGTATATATATTACCTTCACCAAGTGAAAAATTGTACAAAGTAGCACCTTCACATACTTGTATAATCGAAACTTGATCTCACTATAATCTAATGAACACATTAAAAATTATACTGTTCTTATACTAGATTCAACAATTCATTTAAATCTGCCGTCTTAAATGACGATGATATGACTTTGATAACTTTACAAAAAAACTGCCCCTAGACCTTTTAACATATGGGTCTGAGGGACCAAATGGGTCCCAAATTTAGGACCAATTTTCTATGCAAGTGGACTCTACCACATGACTTATCACAGCCACTGTACAATATGGTACTCAGGGCCGGTTTAGGGGTCTTTTGAGGATTCATAAGACTATGGCCTCTTATTAAAATATCACCTGCTAAGAGGTCTTGTAAGTTACATTATAATCCCTAATACAGCCCTGATTATAAAATACGACATCAAGTAGTAAAAAATAACTTTCTTGAGGAACGTGGTTTTTACAATAAAATTAGATATACACGATGCTACATACAACCGAAATACTAAATCACGCCGGCTATTCTAAGTTAGATAGGGTGCAACTTCGGACATTTTTTTTTATTTGGTGATACAAAGGCTTTTTTTAATCTAAAAACTCAGGAAACATTAAATTGGTAAAAGCCGCATTTCAATGAATTTGATATTAAAACATAATAAAGTGGAATTAATTCATTAAAATTACTTACTTATTAAATACTATTTTATTCAACGTTTGTTTTAATGGCCACATCTAAGTCCCCAACATCATTCCCGAATTCTAATATATTGCACCAAGCGTGAAAATCAAATACGTACGTATTAATATGTAAGTAGCTTAAACTACGATTATTAGTAGCAAGTCTACTTAGTGGTGTTGCCGGTTTTCGACACACGGTCTTTAATCCATTTGTTGGTGCGGGTCAAGATGTCTGGTTTTTCAGCTGGATCTTGCCATGCCTCCAAATTTATTTTCTTGATCTCGTCACAGGAGACAATCGGGTTGCTGTAACAATATTGTATCTTAAGTTTTTTACATTCTTCTTGTCCATAATGCAAGGACAAAAATATAGAGTCAACACTCAATTTTCATGAAATTTAATTTCAATAACTAATTTTTCTAATGGCTAAGGTCTCTATCGGTGCCACTGCACTATAAATGTGACCGCGAAGCAGCAATACTTAACTTCGGGTTATGGAGAGCCGGTGGAATAACAGTCTTACGTCTCATTTGCGATAGAAGTCTTTACTATAAATATCTTAAGGCGGCGGTTACCGCTTTTCATAAGGTCGAGCGATCGCCGGTTTGAAAACCGTAATCGGATATAGTCCTAACTTCTAACCATAGTTCTTCAAAAATAATGGACCTTAGATAAAGCAAATATAGTCTGTCTTTTTTTAAGAAAGAGTAAAATGATATTTGCAGGGTTGCCAGTTTTCGTAAAATTTTAAATAGTTATGTAGTTGTTGTCGACAATTTTATCGATAGATTGTGAACGCAGGTAAAATTTTGCCAAAAATATCTGTATTGTGAATAGTTGCGTTATTGATATATCGAAATAAATGTTTAGTCATACACATTTTAATAACGACTGGCGGATTTGGTTACATATATTAAAAAATTTAAATGAAAAACTTTGAACTATAATTTATATAATTTTAAACTTGAAACTTGAAAAACTTTAAACTACAATTTATATAAATAATATTTTTTATACAAACACCTAGAGTACGTATAATTTTTCAAAAATTAAAATTACGAATCTGTGCCCAGCAGTTGGACGAATAATTGGCCGATGATAATTCAAATGACAAGATCGGCTATTTATTTCATAAACATAATCAACATCCAGCCGATAGTCGATTTAATATTTATCGGCTGTAATCACTAGATGCTTGCAAGCGGGCAACACTTTTACGCAATGAACTGTCATTTTATTTCATCCTCAAAAAAGATAGACTTCCATAGTCTACAGTCTACATACTTGCTTATTTCAGGCACTATAACTACTTACGTAAATTGATTCTGCATATAAACCATAACCTTATAAGTACTTACCTATCTGAAGGTAGTTGGAAGGCATCTCGCTGCACACTGCCGACAGCAGCATTATCGCATAGCAGGCGTGCGAGAGAGGTGCGCTTGATCTCAGCGAGTTGACGCTTAGTAAAGCTACCAGCTTCTTCCGCGTGACTGTAGAAATAGCGGTCGCCAGCTCGCGTACGGGAGAGTTGTTCCTCTGTTAACGGAATTATAAAATAAAATGCCACGGCCAAAAATGTGATAAGTATTTTGGTATGAACACCAGGCTACTATTGACGAGCTCTGTGCCCTAATGGTTTGCACCATAGGCGCTGGATGATGAAGTCGCTGGTTCGATTCCCAGTTGGATCAATTTAGGAAAAGAACTTTTATGAAGTGGTTCTGAGTAGGTCCATATTGCCATGATCACAAATATGCAATAGAAGGTGGCATCGACAAAATTTAACATTCAGATAAGCAGCTACATGCAGTTATGTACTGGCAAACCTTACTTAGACAATAGAGACCGCGCAAAGTTTTCATAATGCAAATTTTACAGCGCCTCTAGCAGGCACAATCAAGAACTATTACGAAGAATAAAGAATAATTTACGCGGCCATTGTCTCTGTAGACCCCGTAAAATATGACAAATTGTGGTTCGCCTGTGACCACTAGAGGCGCTTTAGAATGTGCCGTACATATACATTTTTACCTAGCGGTTTCGAACACTATTAAAAAATATAATACTCACTAAAGAAGCAGGTAGCAGTATGTCCGAGCAGCGAGCCGGCAAGGGGCGACTCCGCCATCAAACCGACAACTAGATCGATATCACTGGGGTGCTGGTAGACCTGAGACAGCTTGTCTACAATCTGTAAAGAAATAAGTTTGATTAACTTTTAATTAAGTCTGTTACAAAGGAAAATTCCCTCAATCCGACTGGAAGCGAAATAATTTTACTTCATGTTTGTTCGATCTTTGTATTAATAATAACAAACTAATGGAGTACTTTCATATTTTCCAAATAAATGAATACCATGGTAGTAAAAACACCATGCTATTCAATAAAAATAAATATTGCAAATAAGTGTTAACTTATTTTTTGTTAAAAGTGGTTGTTTAATGTGTTGTTCATCACTCTTGCTCGTAAATGGTATGATTCAAAGTAATATGGGCACAACAGTGAATTTCTTTATTGCTGTTCAAAAATAGAAGAAGATTTAAAGAATTATATTCATTATTGAAATATGTGTAAACTTACATTTTTTAACCAAAAGTAAATATGAGTGCCACTTTAAAGCTTGTTAATTGTAAAAAACTGTCAATTTTCATTTACAGGGTCCCAATTAAGAAGACCACTAATGGATGTGACGAATCAACCTGGCCCCAGTAGTGAGAATATTCAAACCACCATGACCACAGTCAAATGTCCCAAACACATCACAGCTACAGAACAACACTTTGTGTAATCGAAGAAGTAAGTACATTGATCCAATGCACTAGAAGGGATAATTCAAAGGAACTACTGTGCAGTCACTTCATACCCACATGTCATAGTCACTTTATACAAGGCTCTATTTTATGTGTAGGGTATTTTTTGTATTTAAAGACATTATTACAAGATTACATAATGTTAAAAATTATGGAGCTTCACTACTGTTACTCATTTTATTTTTTCTTTGTTTTTAGAAGCAGTTAAAAAGACTAACGAACATGAAAAGGATTTGGCCAAAAAAATTGTACAGTTAAAAAACAAAATGAATCATATTCGAAGAGACTCAAAAAAGCTCAGAAACTTTCCACCAACAATGCTTTCCAAAAATGCATTAAAACAATTCAAGACCTTGGCTGCTATTTTCACTCTGATGCAGTTTCGACATATAGGGAAACCAAAGACGGGAAGAAGGTTCACAAAAGAAGAAAAAATAATGGCACTAAGTGTGTACAAGGCGGGACCAAAAGCGTACAGATGGCTTAGCAAAATATTTGTCTTGCCATCACCGGTGACTGTTTCCCGTATGATATCACAAGCCAATTTGAAACCAGGTCTAAATGACAATATTTTTGAACAACTCAAAGTGCAAATAAAGAAAATGAAAGAAGATGACAAGTTATGCTCATTAATCTTTTTTATTGTTTTATATTTCATTACATTTGTTTTTGTCATTTGAAAGTTGAAGTTGATTGAGTAAATGTAGGAAAAAACAAATACATGATTTAGATACAAAAATTGTTTCATTTTGAACTATTGATTGCTAAATTTAATATCCATTAAAAAATAAAACCCCTAGGAACCCAGTAGAAAGAATGAAGAATAGTATAGATATGTGTATGTACAAGGAAACCATAATTCCATCTCTAGACACTAGATGGCGTTTAGATACTACATGAGCTGATAACTCTATACCTAGATATACAATGTACTCTTTGGTATGATTGCATGGTGGCTAACTTGACTTTTTTTTAAATAATATATTTTTAAATTATTGCTGGCCATGGAAACAAAGTCCTTCAGCCGAAAACATAAGCGTTTAATTATATTTCTGTAAATATGGCCACCACAAAGAGGATAGGCAATTTGAGGCGGCGTACTTGGATTGACTCGGGATTCCTTAGAACGGGCCGATACGGGTATTTTAGTTCGAGATTCGTATAATTTCGCGTTTTAATCTTCGATTAAGGCACAATAGCACTATCCTATTCCACTTTAAACTAGATTTCACAAAATAATTGAAAGTCAAAATAAAAACGACACTTTTCCCTCCAAAAGGCCCAGAGCGAATTTTTTAAATAATATCAATAATGCCATAAATAAAACCTACGGGCCTTTTTTCTTTCCATTATAGCCATGGTCGAAAAGTTGTTTTTTTTATTTCTAGCACGACATACATCCTTACAAAGGTCAGGTTCAAATTCAAGCAAGGAGCTTAAGTAGCTTAGTTCAAAATTAAATTTCGCTTAAAATGTTATCTAAACAAAAATTTAATTGCAATTCAGCCACATACTACATAAATACTTATTATTAAGAATTTCTTAGACGAGTAATTGATTGGAATTATTTTCTATAAAAAAATTTAGCAAACTTTTTTTACAATCAATCACGGCTGTGTAACAGGTTAGTTCGAGTTCTAATCTATGGAAGATTAAAAAAAAACAAAAAACCCGCCATTTGCCAAATCCATAATTATTGTGTTGTGAACCATATTTAAATTGTATTTATTTCCTTGCAAATGTGATGAAAAACATTGACGGTAAAAGAATACGAAACTCGAATTTTTAAAGCCCTCAGCCTTTAGCTTCGGGCTTCTAATAGACCCTCGTTGGTAATTTTATTATTCCGTCCTTATTACACAATGTACTATTGTATATCTACTATCTACTAGTATTATGGCTTTTCATTGTTACTAAAGTTGCTACAAGATGAAACTTTTGATTCTAAGCTTTAATCAACAGCAGTCTCATACCTCCGGTAGAACGTTTTAAGCAAGCTCCCTTGGCAGTTTTTTCTTTTTATTACAACGAAAATTAGTGAGACGTTTTTAAAATAGTACATTGTGTCACAAAGACGTTAAGTAGGCAATTACGAACTGAAGGACATTCAAATCCGGCTTTAATGACACATTATAATTGGTGTGGCGCCGTATACTATACAAAATTGAAATCAATTGTATTGTAATTAATTACCCATGACGTGGTACCTATTTAGTAAAATACGTCTGCAGTATTTCCTATGTATACATGCTGTTACAGAGTCCAATGAAGTTCTGCGTCGGGTCGTAGACCTTTTATGGACGACAAAAAGCTGAGTGGATGACGGATACCGTAATAAATACTAAACACTTCATTATTCCAATTTTGTTACTTAATTTACTTTTCTTAACTATTAGAATTATTTAAGTGTTGTCTAATTGTGTAGTATTATGTGTTAAACGATATGGTGTGTATACTGTGCTGTAATTTATTAACGGAATAAACAATGTTTTTTCTTCCTTCCTTCTTTCTTTAAATGCTTTTTCACACTTACGAGGAAGTTAAAAAACTTAAAGTTTATTCGTATTATTTTTACAAACTTTTAACTATCTCACAAACAAATCTAATATGAAATAATTTTTTTTAGCATTAAAACTTTTTACTTTGGCTTTAGGTATGAATAAAAAGTAAAATCTTTTAAATTTATGTATATAGTGGTATTTATGAGTATATAATTTATACAAATTAAATGAAATAAAGTTCACAGCCTTTATATTTGTTTTTAAAATAAATCAAAAAGTCCACTGCAATTTGTGGTCACGACGCGAATTTAACGCAAGGTCTACTTCGAGGCTCCCGCGCGCTAAGCGGGCGGCAGGAGAGTAGAAATAAAGCAAAAAACCATTACCGCCCTAGGGCCGTATGGTAGAAAAACCCGCATAGTTTTACTGCACGTTATACTAGTACTTATGAGCAAGTGTGATGAAAAAATATTGTAACACATAAATAGTAAGTAATCTTGATTGACAACCTTTTGTATGTCAAGTAGCCACCTATCTTTCAACGACAATGCCTTTTTCGATAAGATAAAGCTACGTACCTCCTGAGGAATGACATCTGCGAGTTGTTGGAAGGTGGTGACGGATGACAGGCCACAAAGCGTACGGTACTGTGTATAGCCGGGTAGGCCGTGGTCACGACCTCGCTGGATGTCAAGAGCGAGCACATCCAGGCCCCCTAGGTATTGCTCGCGAAGCTGAAATAAGAGTTATATCATAAAAATGGTGTATCCCAAAGTTTCTATCTTAAAATAGCCTGGAAGTAATACATCTTTATCTAACACGTAGTCTTCAATTTTGTAATATGATTTTTGATCAAAATATTTTTAATGTAGTTTTTAAACTTAGGAAATGATAAACTTAATATATGCTCCGGAATCTTATTGTAAAAACGTATACAGTTCCCCATAAAAGAGTTGTTTACCTTAGGTAAACGAAATCGAATATTATGGATATCTTCTTTCTTATTGAAATTATGTACATTTTTACGGGCATATAAAATATTTGAGTAAATGTACTATGATGCCACAGTCATGTTACCAGTCTCCTTAAACTTTTCTCTGAGAGAAACCCGAGAGCCTAGACGGTACACAGAACGGATCGCTCGTTTTTGCAATACAAATATGGTTTGAATATCTGCCGCTTTACCCCACATGAGAATCCCGTAGGACATTATACTATGGAAGTAACTAAAGTAAACTAGTCTAGCAGTACTAACATCGGTAAGCTCACGTATTCTGCGGACTGCGTATGCAGCGGAGCTTAATCTGCTGGCCAAGGAAGATATATGTGGAAACCATTGAAGTTTACTATCTAAGGTCACTCCCAAGAAGACTGCTTTATTAAAAAGGTCCAACTTTTCTCCGTTTATTTCCATGCCTAGACTAGTCTATTTTGCGTTAGGTAATTCAAATTTAACACATTTTGTCTTCTTGGCATTAAGCAATAAATTGTTAGCATTAAACCAATATACTACCTTAGAGAGGGTATCATTAGTATGGTCATAGTGAATGTCATGTCTGTCTGTTTTAAAAATCAAGGATGTGTCATCAGCAAACAACACTATTTCGCAGTGGTCCTTAACAAAGAATGGCAGATCATTAATATAAATCAAAAATAAGAAAGGTCCAAGTACTGAGCCCTGCGGAATACCCATTTTTACCGGAGAACCCAAAGAAGTCACTCCATTTATGTCTACTTTCTGAAATCTACCGTTGAGTTATGACGAGACAAGTTTCGACGCCTTGCCATTTACACCGTAATGTTCCAGCTTCCTAATGAGAGTAATATGATCAACGCAATCAAATGCCTTTGAGAGTTCACAGAAAACACCAATAGCGTTCTAAAACCTTTCCCAAGCATCAAAGATGTGTTTTAGTAACGCTACCCCCGCATCGCTAGTCGATCTACGACTAGTAAACCCGTATTGTTCACTATGAAAAATATGATTCCTACCGAAATAGGACAGTAATTGAGTCAGCATAACCTTTTCGAATATTTTACTTAAAGCTGGTAAAACTGAAATGGGCCTATAGTTGCTAGGATCAACTTTCCTACCGCTTTTGAATAACCTTACTGTATTTCATTAAATCGGGAAAAACACCTTCGTCAACGCACCTATTGAAAGCTACAGCTAAATGTGGGGAAATTAGATCAATAATTGAGTCTATAACTTTAGTTAATATGCCCCAGAGATCTTCAGTTTTTTTAACATGTATTGATTTAAAAGCTTTTATGATGTCTTGTGGATTAACATGACGGAAATTAAATAAACTGCCACAAACGTTAACATTTTCCTTTATGAGATCAATAGCAATCAATCAATCAATATCAATAGTATATTAACTTATTATTATTATCGTTTTCGCGATTGATGCACATAGGAAATGAAACTATTTTTTCGGTACATTTGTTGTTTAGGGAAAACATGGAATTTGTGTGAATTTTTTTTAAATTAATTTTGACCAACCTATGCTATCCCAATTTTTTCGTCCCATACAATGAAATGATCCCTTCATAAAAGTGAGTCGATCAACACTAAAAAAAATTTGATCAAGTTTTGTTCATTTTTATGGACGATTGACCAAAATATTATTACTTACTAAGTCAAAATTGTTTTCACAAAAAAAGACTTGATGGTTCCTAAGACAGTTTCCTTGTATCTTCCCCATACGGTCCCATAAAAAAACACTGCATACAAGGCTAAAGTGCGTTTTTTGAATAAAGATATTTAAAAAAAAATGAAGCTATGAAAAAATATCATGAAATACAATTTTACAATACTGATTTACTAGGAAGTGATAACAGATTTCTCATAGATAATAATAGCAAACGTGAAGAAAACATAATATAAAAATAAGAAAATTAAACTAGTATCACTTTACAAGTTAATATAAATATAGTAAATGCATGAAAAGTCATGCTAAGTCAATAAGAGTAAACAATATACCTATAAAAGGCTTTTTGTAACGAAACAGATAAGTTAATATATTTATTCGTCGCCTTAATGAGTTTTCAGAGGAAATGGGTTCAAAATATAAATTGCATTTTTATAACATACAGCTCTCTATTGATCATTAATAAACAAGCAAATGCCATAAAAATACATATATTAACAGAGGTGTGCACACCATTTAATTTTTTTTAATAAACTTTCTGTGTCACACATGTCTATTAAAAAATTGACTATGATTCACTACTTAATTAAACAATAACATGGAACCTACTGTTATTTGTTTGACTTATATGTAATTATTTAGCCACACTTGTGTTTAATTTTAAAACGGTGATTTCGCAGCTGTAATTCTATCTGTACATACATTTATTTAATATAATATTAATAACGCACACATTCATAACCCCGCACTAAGGAAACCCTGTACCGCAGGTGCCAAAGTCACACACATAGACAAATTACACCCAAACTCACGAGAGAAATCAATGTAGGCCATACAAATACTTCTTTCGGCCCGGGAATCAAACCCGGGGACCGCGTGGTAGTCCAGCAAGCAAACCATTCGGCCACAGAGACAGTTAAATTCAAGTCAATTTAGTTTGCAAATTCCGTGATTGAAAATGATAATTGACTACCGAAACTGATGGATATTTGGATAAAAAAATCTGTCAATTCCATTGCACACTCTCCGCGATATATCTTGTAGAATACCGATAAGTAGACAACTTTAAGGCGGGATGTTCAAGGCTCTCTCTGCAGCTTCGTCCCTACTAAAGCAGAGTCACCTATTAAGCCTCTTGACACGCTTTTCAACTGAATCCAAGGTGACGAGTTGATATTTATGAAAACCATCCCGTAGGTTGAACATAACATTGAACTGGAACTGCCTCTGTGACCGAACGGTTGCCACGACTGCCACGCACAGGTCCCAGGTTCGATTCCCGGGCCGGGAGAAATATCTACCTTTACCTACATTTAGTTCTCTCGTGAGTTTGGGTGTAATTTGTGGTTGTCTATGTGTGCGTCCATGGCACCCGCGACACAGGGTTTCCCTAGTGCGGGGCTATGTTGAGTGTGTGCGTTATTATTATTTACACATTCACATCTTGAACAGAAACACATATCAGTATAGTTCTATAAATGAAGTATAATATTTAAAAAAATATGTAAAAAATAGATACCCATACAACGATTGGGGGAATGTTCGCTTTTAAAAGCATAGCTTATAAACAATAATATATACGTAGTAAATGTTATCACTCGTATCTCTCTTTGTGATGACATTCCACCAACTCTACGCAAATGCATCTTAAAGGTTGGATCTCATTTTGTAAGCATCAGCAACCTTGGTAAGTACCAACTTGATTTAACTGGTACTTGGCGTAACGAGGTGGTGGTGCAACTTCGACGTCGAGGCGCCTATTTTGCGTGTCAGCAACCTTATTAAACGTGTATTTCACATGTGGTATCTTAAGCACGCTTCTCGGCTATGCGTGCTGTCTAATGAAATCCAACCATTTATGTCAATATAAACTAAAAAATACTCACATCGACATCATAACTAAGATCCAGCCCCTGACTCTTCTGATTCACCATTCCTCGAAGCAACTTCTCTAGCCCCGTTTTCTGTGCTACTAATTCCGGCTTGTAATAATGTTGGTTCAAACGTAAAGAAGTCATATTCTTATTAATGTCCAATAACTCAATGTCTTGATCGAGCATGCTATGGACGAAGTGGAAGGCAGCTGTTGCAAAACCGTTGGTAATGGTTGGGTCCACGTCAGAATTGTAACCGGTGTCATAGCTATCGTTTAGATCGTCGAATGACTTTCCTGTGGAAGAGATATGATTTGTAGAGCAAAAAGCTGGCAAGAATGGCCAAATATACTACAAAGTATTGGAACATATCAACCCACACAAACGACTGTGTTGTATGATGGATTCATTTATTAGGGGTAAAATGTCACCACTAGATTCAGTGTAATAATGATAGATAACAGATAAAAAGACCTGAATTTACACCATCATTATAGTATTAATTATTTTGTAAGTTATGTAATAACGCACGGTCAAAATAACAACAACTGACCTCTGTTTGAGAGGCGGTAGGTCAATCCATTAGACTACCACGGATTTTTTATTATTTTAATATTTTGCTCCAAAAATTTTTAATTTCACTTAAAAATTTACAACACTTTGGTTAAAGACTAAAATAGTAAAATTTTGAAATTGGTCTAAGTTTCAATTCTCAGCTCTCATTTATTTATAAGCTGATATGCTCTAGTGAGATGAAGACGAAGAGAAAATATAATCAGCCGGAGCTACGTAGTATCAAACCGTAATAGAACTTACCAGTGAGAGCCTGCAACCAAGCCTTATAAGTGATGTGTTGCAACTCAGCGACGACAATCCTTCTAGCTTCATGGTAGAGCTTATCCGAATTCCAAGTAGGGTTGAGGGAAGCGAAAGTTCGGGCTACCCGGTTGTGCTCTTTCACTAAAAGCGTGTGTAGAGCTGTTAACCAGGGGTGAGAATTCACGCGGATATCACCTGTGAATAAAAGAGAACGCTTATTGACGCTTTCCATAATGTATAATGCCATCGACTAAAGTATGCAGTCCATTGCACTTTTTTGCAATAGCGATTATTTGTCCATTTAGCGTTTCAAATATTATTAGGACCTAGATTGAAAAGATAAAAGTATCTTGATTATTATAAAGAACTCTATAAAGTTACAATAATATTATTCATAGTAAAGAAGGTGCGTATATGCAGCGTGATATTTCTGTAGTTGTAACATAGATTATCTAATAATAATAAACTGGAGAATGCAATTAAAACATAAATGACAATTATTTTGTTTAAAACCAATTCTGACAAAAATCTGTTGTACTCCGAAACCATTCGTTGCAAAACAGAATAACGTGAAAATAAGTATTTTTGTCGTTCACATTAGAAAACCCTGTTAGAAGAAACAATTAATATTGATCAATGACAAATCATTAAGCAGTTTCAAAATTGGAGAACCTATACTTCGTTTCTCCTACGGACACGACTTTTAAACGAGCAAAAAAATTGCTGATCGTACAAATTTTATCTTACTAACAAACGACTACAAATAAACGTCAAAAGTCTTATAAACATCTCATAATGTAAAAACATTACAATAATATTGATACTTCGAGAAAGAAAAGCCCTAAAAGTCAATTCTAACAAAAGTGAGTTATTGACAAAGTTGAGTAACATTTTTCTTCCTAAAAAATGGCTTTTTACGTAAGAATATATACATCAAACTATAAAAGACATAAAGTAAAATGTTTATAAATTTCGGTCTTTCACTCGTCTTTGTAAGCTTGCAAGGCTGGCTTTTACACCCTTTGCGCAACTGTCTTTTGTACGCAACAGTCGTTAGAACCTTCGTTCGTGGTAAATTATAAAAAGTTACAAGAAGTGTCTAGAACATAAACCAGTGAGCATGAAAGTATAGTATCATTGACATAAACTGTCAAAACATCTAATTTTAGAGCTCCATTTATGACTAGCAGTGAGACATAATTGGATTAATATCGAATACATTCAATTATATGTATATAATGGTAAGATTTTTAATCCAGTTGCTTGAAAAGTTGGACTTTTTAGACAATTTCTTATAGCCTTGTAAGAGAATAAAATATAAACAGATAGTTTAGATAAGTAGATTAATTCAGAATTTTATTTTTGAAAAAGACGTAAGGATAATTTGAGTCTGTATTTTCATTGTTTCAATCGAAAACAAACCCTTGTTCTTACGCAATTACAAAAACCCGCCATTTTAGTAAAAAATAATATATTTATTACTTTGTTTTTCCTCGTAACACAAAATAAATGTAAACATAATGTGATTTAGCGTCATAAGTCACACGGGCGTCAAGGTTATTATAAACTCGTGACTTAAAGTCTCGTTTGCTGGAGTCAACAAATATTCCACCAGTTTTCGCGCCCTAGTAAAACTAAGTAAAAAACAGTAAAAAAAAAAGTCACACTTATTCGTACTTATTATACTTCAAAAAAAGAAGGTTCGTAATTAAGACTGAATTTTTTGTATGTATGTTACCTGATTACGCCGACAAATGTGAACCGGTTTGTCACCTCTGTGAGGGGCATATTAGGGGATGAATGAGGTTTATTGAATTTCACCTACTTCCGTTAACCGATTTCAATAAAACTTAGCACACCGATGTAATTCCAATTAAAATAAAATGTTATCGTGACGTAGTAGAGTTGATCTGATTACGGATATAGGAAACAAATCGATACCTCCGATGAACACTACGCCAACTTTATTTTTTGGTCATTTTCTGTTATTTTTGTAAACAGCCATATTTTTTTACTTATATTTAAAAAAATAAGTAACAAATAACAAAATTGGAAAAACATACAACGAATTTTGTGAAAAACTAAAATCAAAGAAACAAAATAACAACAGAACACCATGCAAGACGACTATTTATAGCTGGTTTGCAGAATTCAAACGCGGTCGTGAAAATCTCTATGTATGGAAATATGGAAAATATGTTTCAGAGATTGTCACGGAGGAGTGGCATAAATGTTTTCAAAATTGATTCCTTCGTATGAAAAGGTGCATTAACGCTAACGAAGAATATTTTGAGAAACAATAAATTCATTTCTGACCATTTATAGTATTTTTTTCTTATTCATTCCGGAAACTTATAGTGCGCCTCACGTTACGTAATTTTTTCCTTACCCACTGAGAAACAGACGAGAAGGGGCATTAAATAAACGCAGGCGTTTTTACAGTGTCCTACTTTTCAAAAACGATTAAAAAAGAGACAAAACGGAAATATAATATGGACTCCTACTAAGTACTAAGCACTTACCAGCATTGAAACAGGCCGCAGAGTTGCTATTTACTAGACATTTCTCCGTAGGATTAGCAACTAGGGGAAGAAGTTCTTCATCTTCAATTCTAGACGTTTTCAAGAGACCACCGGACTTCTCACGAAGGGCTGCAGCGTCACGACTGTTTGATCCGTAGATGTGGGAGCCGTCAAGGAAGTGGGTAGCTTGATTCATCTGTTGACAAATTAAAAATACAGTCAAATATTTTATGCAGTTTTAAATATTTTCCTGTAGAGTATGTAATATTATATTATAATGAATAAGTAACATTTTATTTTAATACAGAGGAGAATTATTACGAAAAACTGCACAGAATTTACATTTTGAAAACGTACCTATTTCGTTTCGTTCTAAAAACCGTATCGATTTATCGAGAGACCGTTTTTTTATTAATCACGTGCATACTTGTCATTTTGAAGAACTTTTTAAGTTGAATTTTTTTGGCCTTGTCAATTCATGTCGGAGAACATCTGCGTTTATATTAACATAGGTATATAGTAAAAACAGTAGGTAACATAGATTAGGTAAATTAAAAAGATAAGAGCATAGGTATTATCTAATAAAAATCACGAGCATTGATGGAAATATACTAAAACTTAATCGTACATGTGATTGATTGAACAGATGATAGCATTTCTTTTAGAGGTTTTCCATTGTAAAATAGGCCTAATGACACTAAGTCACGTATCATCGTTTCGAGGAGGTTTCGAGATTAAATATACAGTACTTATTTTAGTATTAAATATAGCTACCACTTTTCTGCATTGTAGTAAATTTATTCCTTATTTGCATACCTACTATTAAGATCAAATTGCGCCCAATCATAAAGTTCGTTTTTAACAGGAGCGTAGGTATGTCAAACTACGTGAAAGTGGAAATTTTCGGTCAAAGACATTTTAACAATATAATTGCGATAATATATAAACTTAAATAACAAAAATATATTACTGAATAAAATAACTGCTTCCGTTTATGTCATGTACATATTTATGGCACATGCCGAATATACTGATATTTTCTGACAAACACAATGACACTGACAAGGGGAAAACTATATGAAAATAAAGAATAAATTTAACCTTCAATGCAGAAAAGTGGTAGCTATGTTTAATACGAAAATAAATATTTTATATTTAATCTCAAAACAATGATACGTGACTGAATGTCATTAGGCCTATTTTACAATGGAAAACCTCCAAAAGAATTGCTATCATATTTCCATCAATGTTCGTGATTTTAATCAAACAATATGCAATCAAGCGTCATTCTGTTTTTCTTGTAAATAAAATTATGTACGAGAAAAACTAAATGACGCGTAATCTTACGTATAATAAAAAGCATATACTGTAGGTAAACTAAGTAAAACATTTATGTAGTAATTTCTATATTCCTTGCAAATATTTTATTACTGTTATATAGTTACCAAAACGCTCTTCCCCTCTGATTTGTTTACCTAAGTAATCCCGTACAATAAAGGGGCTGAGGGCGTTAAAAATGTTGCCTCGGTAATATTGTATATAAAGTACTACGGAGTAATAAACATTCAAATTGTTTTTAGCACATCCAGGACCTAACGCAGAAAAACTCTACTTGAACTAAGTATTACAATAGAATATCAAAGTATTTACGTACTCTGGTATACTTAAGGAAATCGCTATAGTAGATACCTATCGACGGCCAAGGTTAAAAAACAAAGTCAACGGACTGACCAACGTCAAATCGTAAAAAAATAATCCTTATTCTTTATACATATTGTATATTTTACTTCTCGCTAATCGATTATAGGCGTTGAATTTGGAAAGTTATTGAATGAATACAACCCGTTCTGCAAATGTCTGCAATAACCTCATAAGATCCAGCAAACTCTAATACAATGGGAAAAGCGCTAAACGCTCAACGTTGTACATAAGAATTGTTATAAATATAATTACATACTTCGGTGTAGGTTTGTACGAAAAACGCATTTTTCTAGATACCCTATTGTCATTTATATGTTTATTAGCGCTAAAGTTGAACGCGATATTTACATACATTACAATGTACACTGGGCGTTTACGTGATCATAGGAATATTATATTCTCTGGGTCTGAATCATTTCACATACTTCGTATTTATTCCATATTAACTGTCAACCCACTGATAACTTAGCCATTCCTACATAAACATATAAACAACCGAGCTCTTCATCTTAGTTTTTTATTTATTTTAGCGATAGGTAGTAGAGCTCCTGTGAAGGAGTTAGTCCAGGGAAGTACCACCTTACGTACAAATTTCTGCCGTCAAGCAGTAATGTGAGCATTACTGCGTTCTGGTTTTAAAGGGTCAGAGTGCTGATGAAATTACAAGCACACGGAACTTGTCAACTTATGTCCTCAGGGTGACGGGCGCGGTGACAGTACACCTCAAATCATTGCGATTTAAAGCTCTAGTAGTACGTAGCACAGCAACTGTCGTGTCGCTTCCATCAGGCGCAACACGCCTGATGGAAGCGACTTATTCGTCCCATCACGTTGATATCATTAAAAAATATTTATTATTTATATTTTATAATCAGTGATCATAAAATAATAATAATAATAATGTTTTATAATCAGTGGCACATCTTTTGTCTTGTCCTACGTGCCCCTATACCTGCACAGGCGAGGACCTGTACAACGCCACAGATAATGCTGCGTCAGTCGCTGAGTACTGGCCCTCACAAATATAAACGTCAGAGTGGACACGCTAAGAAGAAGAATCAGTGATCGGAATTGAGGGAGTTAATTTAGCTAAACTAAAGAATAACGTCGTCTTTCCCTTCTAAAAATCCCGAGACTTCTCGGACCTGATTTTATTTGAATATGCGTATTATTTATTGAAATTAGAGTACACTGGCGGCTGAATTATTGTCTCAAAAATAATATTATACTTGTATTTCTATAGATACGTAAATAATTTAGACATTTAAAAAATAAACTATACTTTGGACTGTTTAGAAATAAATGGTCCATACCAAGAAAACGTTAGTACTTCTACCTAGATTCTCCTTCAATTCCGATCACTTTTTATAATAAAAGAACTAAAATACCAACTATAAAAACCACAAAAACTAAATAACCAAAAGGCTTTCTGTGATAAAAACAAACTAACTCAATAAATAAGTACGTAACTCAGGACAATAGGTAATAAATTTACAACAACGTTTATGTGCATTTATAACCTTGAAAACGAAGTAAGTAAGCAATCATAATTGCATTATGTCTATTACAATAGCATTATGCAAGCTTAGTTAGACCACAGTACTTGTGATAAAAGCTTTAAAACGGATGTCCTTACGTCGTAGTCTATATTTAGACCTGGTTAGACAACCCAGCCACGTGATAGGTAGGTACCTACATTATCAGCATAACGTCTTTGTATAGCTTGTTTGACTGGTCTGAATGTATTAAAGAGTGTGGAATACGTCCTTTTATGTATCTTTTTTTTTGTATAGTATAGGATCATTGTACAAATATCTGCCGAAAATATTTACGTACTTTTATTTTTTCACAAGTACTTAAATACTTGTGATAAAAAGGGAAAATCCAATTTTATTATAAAAACTTTACCCATAAACAGTATTTGAGGTTACAATTGTTTTGTCGGTTAAATTAATTTACCAAGTACTTGTTAGATAAAGTGTATTCGTTTCCGGATATAGACGAGATAAACATATTCTTAGTAGAGAATCAAGTTAATGACGACAACATAAAAAAATATTATGTACATATCTTTATATGTGCTACAAAAGTTTGTTTTTAATAGATATAATTTATCGGTCTGTACTGTATACAACTTCTAAGTATTAACTCTGTTTCATTGAGATCAATTGTTTTGAATTGCAGTTGAAGGAAGATCACATCTATTTGCCCCATATAGCTCTCTCTAATATTCCTCAGTGGGCGAATAGTAGTTAAAAATTGTGCAAAAAAATTTCACAAACATTTTTTGTTCGCTTTGGTGGTTATATCACAGTTACCTATATGTATAAGTGCCCAGTTAAAGGCTATGATATCTAGTCTCAATTTAAGGACTTTACTCTTACAACAATACGTTTTCAGAATGCTAGAAATGTGTACAGGTTGCAATTTTTTTTAAATTCAATAAATATTATACCTACAAAATTTGTGTTTTATTGTAAAGTAATACTCTCATTTCTTCACAAACCGTTTTCGTCTCCACAATGCGTTTTAACATCATGAAAACTAAAGAGATTAATGTTTATACAAATAACCAGATCATTATTAACTGTCGCACTACTCACGTGCTAATGCCCAAATAATAATTAACACGACTTTCCTTATCTACGTAACCTAACCGCAAGAAGTTATTTACAGTAGGTAAAACTTTGAACTAGGTCCATAGGTTCCGAAACTTTGTAGCTCACCGCCCACTTAGGCAAGATAAAATTCAACGCCACAAAAAATGATTACGTGAGGCGCACCATAAATTTCCGGAATGATTAAGAAAAAAATACTATAAATGCTCAGAAATGAATTTATTGTTTCTCAAAATATTCTCCGTCACGTTAATGCACTATTTCATACGAAGGAACCAATTTTGAAAACATTTATGCCACTCCTCCGTGACAATCTCTGAAACATATTTTTCATACTCTTCAACAGCCTCTTAAGGTGATGAAAATCGTTAACCGCGTAACTGGTTCTTAATTTTTGGAAATAAATAAAAGTCACGAGGTGCTAGGTCTTTAAACGGGATGGCTCAAATGGTCAACGTTGTTCACCTTCAAAAATTCATTTGTCTGTCTGGCCGTGTGAGAACTAGCATTATCATGGTGCAAAATGATACTGCATTTACGGTTATTTTTATGGAGTTTGTCAATAACTTCCGGCAAACAAATGGTCGTGTACCAATCACTATTCACGGCACAATGATTCTCGAAAGCAACAGTAGCCACGTGTTCAGTTTTATTAAAAAAAGAAGCAATCATCCGCTTAGAGGCACTTTGCACGCGCGCCACTTTGGTTGGTTTCGGCTCATCTCGAAAGACCCATATGCTCGATTGGATAGGACTCTTTAGCGCCCACTGGGTAGGGGCCGCTTTGGGAAACTATGAACTAGACTATCGTTTAGGAAAGTTACACTCTTACTAATGAAACCATTTTTTAAAGTTAAAAAGTTACATTACACAATACTACAGAACATTGGATTAACTTACAAAAATTCTATTGATTTTTCTACTAATTGCAATCACGCATTAAGCAATTCTTTAAAAGGCAATAATATGGAAATAAGTAATTACAGCGTATTGCAGTATGTTGACGTCAGCAACGTAATTGTGTTTTCCTATAGTTATACACACTATGACACATCGTGATCTCTGTCTGTGGTTGACTGCTCGCGATTAGTTAAGCAAATTAATGTAGGTACTTCGTTAGTACTAAACTGGCTTTGAAAACAACACGAGTAATGGAAACAACATGTTGGTTATGATGCTAATTTAGTTACGTTATACAATTATGCATTGCTAACGACTTAGCAATCCCAAAACAGTCATATAAACGAAACAATTAGAGAACGTTATTGGCAAAAAGATTTCAATACAATGTAGCAGTAGATACTTATTATAATACTAGGTTATACCTAGGTAATATAAAAGCTTGTCAAAGTCTTGTCTTATTTAATATTATAACACACAAATTATGTTAATATATAGTAATCACTTATAATTGAGAAATTATTGTCATGTCCTTGTAAGACAAAGCAACATTCCTTATTTCATAATATTGTAAATAGTAAATTCTCCTCTCTTTCTCTCTCTCCAAATATAGATTCCTCTACGTCAATGAACACTACACCATCTTAATTTTTTGGTCATTTTATAAACAGCCAAATAAAAAACCAAAAAAGAAACATGAAACAAAATTGGAAAAAAAACCAAAAAACCAATTTTGTAAAAAAATAATGACAAAAAATAAACAGAACTGGTCCAAAAATTAAGTTCGTGTAGTGTTCATTGGAGGCATCGATATAATACTGGGTTCACAATGCGCTGTTAACTTAGCTTTAAGCCATTTCCATCTTAAGTAACATTATGGTAAATGCAATAAAGAATTGAATTAAAAACATGAAAACTCTGACAAGAAAAAATATTCGTTTAACAAACATTAATATAGTTAAAATGGCTTTGAAAAGTTGAGATGGAACAAGAAGTATTTTTTAACTTGTGAACGTAAAGTAACAGGTAAATAACAGCTGTTTGTCTTACCTGTTCTGAAGCACCAAATGTGCAGTCTCCTCTATATGTAGTGACGGACCTCGTGTATTCCATACAGGTCTTGGTATCTTTAAAGAAAGGATCCCCGGCAGGCACAGAGATGGGCATACAACTCGGATGCAGGTGACGTGGCAACAACCCCCATCTTGATGTGTCATCGCAGCAGCGAATTAATTGATTCGTGTGAACTATATCGCAAATGGGACAATACACGTGAATTTAGCAAAGTATTTTTGCTGATAAATTATTATAAAATACATGATGATGCACGATGTTATAAAATACATCGAACGGTAAATACGAGGTAATATCTAATTACAAGTAGTATCCAATACCTTTTCGCTTTTTTCTCGTTACGTGTATTATACATAACATCATGTTTAGCACAATATAGTTGTCACGTGATGCTAAAAAAGTTTACGGTGGGTACAGTATGTTTGATTTTTTTTTATTTGTTTGCAAAATCAAGAAAACAAATGATATGGTTAAAATTGAGGCTGATGAAGAACGACACTCTTAGATCATTATCGAGGTACAACACAACATGTTTAAATTTGTTGTTTACCGTTCAAGGTATTTCCATAACAAGGAGAATTTTATTGTATAATCACAACTAATCTAATACACGCGATATTCGAGTAAGTCATTAATAAATAAAAATTACTTATACTAGCAGATTAGTAAAATTAAATATGCATTGTACTCACTGGTCTTCCGAACAGGAGTATGAGCTAGATCATGATGGACAAACTGTCCCCAGACAGCCATAGCGACGGTTTTCGTCGCGTCAGGCTTATCCAAGTTGTCGGTCAATTTGTTGCTTACTTCACGAGCTGAAGGCAGAGGTCCGTGGCCCATTGCTCGGCGAGGCTGTGGAAACAATCAGCATACTATACATATTGATTGTGCCTATCTGTCATAGGAAATTACACCACAGTTTCCCAAAGTGGTCCCTGAAGAGTTCTAAGGGGGCGGTAGGGGCTTCGGAAGTAATTAGGGAGTGTTGATGCTGTCGATAAGTTAGTAGCCGGGTTAGAGAGTCACCGCACTTATCAACGCGAAATCTGCTTGAGGCGATCATGTTTTACCACACTCATCGCATTAAGCTGATGTGCCGTCGACGCGGCCGTTCGAGCTTAAGTGCGGCCGCTTCAGCTTTTCATTTCTGGCATCCAGGCGTCAACGCGTCTGTGGGGCGTCGACTCAGCCGTTCAGTTACCAACACCTTTCAGTCATGACTGAGAACTGGGTAATGTGACCTTCGAACTCCTTCGGACATCGACGCAGCCATTCGAACGTTAACACAACCGTTCGGGTGTTGACGCAATCGTTCGGGCGTCGACGTAACCCTTCAGGTCTCGACGTCGCCGATCAACAGATAGGTTGTGCACGCACGCGATTGGCCGTGTCGTACGAAACGCACAACATGTTTTTCACTCTTACGTTCATGAACATTAAAGCTTTTTCGGACTCCATGACGATAAGTGTGGTGACTCCGTCAATTTACTAAGTTTAGTAGGTAATACGTGTTGTCTCGAGCCGATTCCGCATTGATAAATGTGGTGACTGCATTATAAAAAATTATACCGAAGTTAAAATTAATGCAACCTGCTCCTAATAAAATTTGTTATTTTTCCTAATTATTTAACAGAAATATTGAATCAACAATAATACGTTTTTACACTACATTATAATAATATACAACCAGACTAATCTAAATCTGTATGATCTAAATTACTCCAAAAATCTTACCTGTTCAATGCCATCAGCATATCTCGGATGAAGGATTCTCTTGTACCCAGTGAGCGCCTGTCCCCAAGATGAACGAACGGGATTGTTGCAACTGCCGTCAAAGGTACGGTACTTGGAGGACATTTTGGTAGTACGACACGTGAACCGCTCTAGAGCCGCGCACTCCGCGCCATATTCACTCTCGCGCAGGTTCAATGTACTGATGAAGCTCGCACACTCGTCCTCCGGCAGCCCGTACCTTAAATTAATAAATCTATTATAGCTAGAGTCATCAAAGACCTCTGTAAAATGAGACCCTAAAGGATAAAAATTGTCCACCACATTTGCAAGATTTCCAAATTCCCATGACTCACCTTTTACACTTTCTCCAAACCAAGTCTTGTGACGCCTTCGTTACAATTAATGAAGATTTATCATAGTGCATGGCGTCGTCGGAGGGATATCCCTGGATCGCGAGGCCCCTGGCAATTGATCCTTGATTCGCAACAATTCCCGAATCTCTGAGGTTGTTTTCCAACCTGTCCAGCTTGTCGACTGAGAGTTTGCTGAAGCTGATCGAATGATTAGTATCAGCTGGTGTTACAGCTGGCAATTTTTTCAAGTTTGCAGCGCTCGGGAACGGAAAGTCATACATTGGCGGAGGATGGATGATATCTACAACAAACTAACTTCTTGAATACTGTAAATGGTTGAAATTTTTCATTCCCTCTTGTTAATAAAAGAGATCCTACGTACCACTACCGGCGATCAAGTTGAGCGGATAAGGCGCAACATGGCTGCCAAAGGTCACTCCTGCCCAGAGCACGACGCCAAGCAATACCATCTTCATCATTTCCTCCAGAATGCTGCGATAAAAGAAAGCCCCTGTTAATATACTCATCGGCGACATCACTTGAAAAAACAACGGATAGTTTGCCACGGCAACGCCTCACGCAACTTGTTTGCTTTTTGCTAACCGTGAAAATATTGGTTTGTTTATAATAATATAATCCTAATTCTAAATTTTAAGTTATATTGAGTATAGAAAGATATAGATATAGGAAAGTTATGTTTTCTTAATAGGAAATATAGATACAGCCTATTTTATTCATTAGATCTCTTTGTTCACAGTTCACCTTTATACATATAAGTTACGTATAAATCTAAAACAGTTCCAAAGGAATCACGATACCGATCTTTTGTGCACTAACTTTTAAACACTTAGATTGCAATAATGAACTAACCGTTTGCAATATTTAATTAATATCATCACAGTTATATTTAGGAGGCACGCACAGGCAATGAGCGCTATCCGCTAAAGTAAACACTTATATTGGTCCAAGAGAGTGTCAGAGGGTATCAGAGAGGGTACCTCAGATGACATTACAACGATAATGTCGTCGTAAATCATAAATATTGACTGGAGCCAAGCCTCTAGTCAACGTTTTCTCATTGGACGAAACTCCCTAATGACACCGGCATTGATACCGGCAATGATAATTGACGATAATAAGCAAAGTAAATCTGCACTTTTCAAAAAAAAACTTAGACCTAAGTTAGTAACGCCGTCATAGACAAACTCTTGACTCAAAGTTCATAGCCTACTGACACCGGGAAGGATAATTGTCGACACCTAGTATCGTTCTTCCCAGAAACTCTTATCATAATTTGTTTCTATCTGGTACATTGATGATTCCCAATTATAATCCTTTATCTAGTAAATCTTATTTATTACTGGAAAGTCGTAGTCGTTATTTTAGAGAACGTAATAAAAAGGATATAGCCAATAATATTTATATAGTTGACAACGTACTCCCTATGTATGTATTGTATTAGAATTTGGACAGAATAATCATCCGAATACCTTTGTACATTTTATTCATTACACTTTTGGTGTATGTTGATTATTGATATTTACAAGTAAATAATACGTGATCAATGAAAGGAAGTACAGACACATTGCTGAATTGATTGTTTGTTCGCAATGTATAATCCAATACGTTTGAATCTACCTTTGTTTTTACCTCGCCGATTCTAATCAAATGAAACAATGGAGGTGTGTTGAGTGTTAAACTTTAATCGGAACTGAGCTGTTTAATATTGCAATCTTTCCAGAATTCCAGGTAATTGTAATAAAAAATAACTTTATTTATATACATCGATTGGAGTATCATGTAAACTTTATTCTCAGTAGTCCTATGTGCCTGCAATGCCACTAATCGTCAGAATGCTTACTGCTTAAACATAGCCAGAGCTGCGCTCTTAAGAAGGACAATCAAAACGAATATGAGTTCTTAAAAAAATCCCGACTAATAAGTAATGGTAATCGAAACATTGTTTTACTATATATATATTATAGTTTATACCATCTTTCTTTACGAATGACTAAATATGTTGTTATTATAATAGGCAGAGATAGGACAGGTCTGGATAGACAAACAATTGCATGTGCAATGCAAGAGGTAAGTTATAAAGATTATATAATATGGTGACTTCTTCAA